TTACCCCTTCAAAAATATAGGCAGGCATGTATTTTTGGTTTATAGCATAAAGAAAATGTCTGTATCTTTACATAGTATAAAATAAAGTAGTTTTTTTTGTTGTACGCTTAGATCTTTTAAACTAACAGGCAGGAACGGGGCGGGACTATAAATATTGTATATAAAAACGTCCTGTAGTATAGCGTTATCATAATAATAGTATAATTAATTATTCTACACTGATCACACATTAGTAATATTAGTAGTATCTACATTGCACCCGTGCGAAGCCGGGGCGGATCGCTGGTTGTATGCACATATGTATGAATATTTGATTGAATGTATATATTTGTTGGCTCGTAAGCGAATGCCCCGGCACGAGGGGTGTGGGATTTCTCGTGGGATTACTACTACGCTGAGTGTTGTGGATCCGATTCCCACATGGGACGACACTTGTGTGATCTACAAATTGTTGTTCTGAGTCTGGGTATGCTTTTTGTCTATTTCATGTATGTTTTTAAAGTCCCTCGCGACACAGGATATTGTCTTTTAAAAAAGAAAGATAGAAAGGTCTCTAGAAGGAAATGAAGAAATAAAAGAATCTTACTAAATATCATCAATCATCAACAGCCTTTAATAGTCCACTGCTGGACATAGGCCTCTCCTCAGAAAGGAGGTTTTGGCCTATACAATACCACGCTGGCCAAATAGGTTGGTATAGGGTTTGTGTCAAGTTTTCCTTCTCTCTGCAGTGCTGTTGTCCTGCCTAGTTTTTTTCCCTTAGTCGCTTCTTACGACACCCACGGGATGAAAAGGGGTGGTTAAACTCTGTATTCTTAATCCGTCACCACGCGCGCGTTACTAAATATACCTGTTTCTATTTCTTGAATTGCCACGATATCAATCCTCCTTCAAAGATATCAACAGGTCAAACCTTGTAAAAATACTGTAGTATTGTCAATAAGCTAGAGATACTTATTTTTGTGTTGAATTTCCTCAAGAATTCAATAACACTAGTCTCATAATAAAACTGTTATTGCGAGTATATATTATTTGGCAAGGTCACTAAATTTAGTGCGCTTCATAAGAGGGAAAGTGAATACGTTTATTAAATGTTCTTCCTCGTGTTTTATCCTTCCTATTCTAACTAAAGGTCAATGAATAAAATTATAATTCGTTTTTTTTTACAAATTACAGGTGTTACTGAAAGACGTTGTCAAAAACTGGCTCAACAGTCATCAATCAGATGGCTCGCTTTTCACCAGGCGTTTTTAAATAAATCTGGAGATATGATCCTTGTTATTTATTACTTTAATTTAAATATTATTCAATTTTCATACTTTTTAAATCTCGTACTTTACTCAAATTGTTAGCGATTTACGTTTTGTACAAAATTTTAAAACCTTTAATACTAATTTTTATGACTACAGACATACATGAAACGAATACAAAGAACATCCAGACTCAGAACAACAATTTGTGAATCACACAAAGTGTTATCCCATGTGGGGATCGAACCCATAACACTAAACTATAAAATGTCTTTACATCGTTATGGAATAGCTAGTGGGTTCGATTCCCCTCCCGAGCAAAATTTTAGATTGTTTCTCTGAGAGAAATAATAACCTAAGTAACTCCTTGTATAGACAGCTACCTGTTAGAAAAATATTAACAAAATCGGTCCAGCCGTTTTTATGCTTACCCTGAACAAACAGACAGACAAAATATACTTAAACTGGTTTTTAGGCATAGGTAGGTAGGTAGGCATAGGTTTTTTCATGCTCACATGGTTATTTGTATGAGCAAATAAAACCTATTATTTTGACATTACAAACAGACACTTTAATTTTATTTATTTCTATAGAAATAGATGTTTAAAGTTTTAGGAAAGCCATATTTAAGCATAAATGGGCCAGCTCGACCGGGATGATACCACGTATCACAGAAAACTGGCACTAAGCAAATCTTTTCACCGAGGGAGTGAGATCACTAAAACAAAACCCCCCCTTCTCTCTGATTCTTGGAGACTAGACATGGAAAATATTGCCACTTTTAAATCTATTCATTTGATGAAATGATTGGTTTTAGTTACTGTGATTTCACTTAAAAAAACACTATTTGGATTTGGCCATAGACAAAGACTAATCAATCAAATCGACCTATTTTATTTTTTAGACAGTTCTTTCGCGTGAATGGTGCTATTTTTTTTAGCCTGTATTGTGCCACTTCAGGACAAAGACCTCCCTCTCTCCCTTCCACATCTCTCTGTCGTGTGCTAGTCTTTGCGGAAGCCGTCGAGATCGCTGCTGCTGTCTGGCGCTAGCATTATAATAATATTTAGTCACAGTGATGTTGTAGATGAATCATCATTGCAATCATTTGATTTCAAAAATCATACACAGGTGATTGTGATTTTATTCCATGCCTATTGGAGACTCAAAGGGCAGCAATGCAATTGTGACTCTTGTGTTGCAGCTGTCCGTGTTGCAGCTGATAATCCGTGTGGCCATCAATTCTGCTATTATAATATTGTATCAATAAACTGAGACTGTCGATGGAATGTCGTCGGAATAGTTTTGCACTTTTCCTATTCTACTAACTATGTACGACCAATGGTCTCCCGATGACTGGTCACTGATACAAATGTCGTTTGTTTGGTAAACGGTACCTACATTTTAAATTTGTAAGAAAATGATGTATTTAATTTTCCAGGTATGATATATTTAATATCGACATTCTATTGACACTGAGTTTATGTTAGTAGAATACCGATATTTTGACCGATGTCAATGGTATCTCAATGGCATCTCAATAGCGTGTCAATGGAATGACAGTGGCTTAGCGTTAATATAAAATAATAAAATTGAGGCCCTGGTCGTTAGCCTAAAGAAACTCAGTTAGGCTTTTTTCTCATTTCTTTAATGTTGTTTAAAGCTTTGTTTACCCAGTTTCTTCATATTTTGTTTACTAAGATTTAGAGTATACAAAACATGTACCTCAACGGTATGGACGTCCTGTATGGTTCTGAAAGTTGGCCCATTAAGAGAACGGATGAGAGACGCCTGAACGTAGCCGAAATGCGAATGCTGAGATGGATATGTGGTGTGACTCAGATGGACAAGGTTAGAAATGAGTATATACGAGGGAGTCTGAAAGTAGCGCCACTGGATGAAAAGTTAAGAAGTAATAGCTTATCTTAGTATGGACATGTCATGTGGAGGGATGAGGAAAATGTGGCGAAGAAAGTTTTAGGTATGGGAGTTGAAGGGTACAAGACAAGAGGCAGACCGAAGAAAAGGTGGATGTACTTCGTGAGGGAGGATATGGCTAGGGAGGGAGTAAACAGTGAGATGACGCATGACAGAGTAGAATGGAAAAATCATACATACTGCGCCAACCCCAAATAAAATTGGGAAAAGGGTAGGCAGATGATGAAAACATGTACCTAAACCGTTCTTTTTCTACCTTCAACAAACTTCAGTGTTGACAGTAGTTCAATAAATTACGTTCTAATATCGACCTGAATGCTACTTCTGCTCATGATAACTATGTATTCAAAGAGATTATTTGAGAGAGAAATTATTCGTGCGGTAACGGATTAGGAATACGGAGTGTCACGACCTATATTCATCACGAAGAGAGCAAAACTACGCAGGACCACAGCACTGCAAAGAGAAGGAAAACTTGACACAAACCCTATTCCAACAGGTCTGGCCAGCGTAGATATTATTAAATAGACAGACTTAAAAGTACGTGACCCCCAAGCTACTGCAGCCTAGTCCTTGCGCCTATTCCCAATTCCAGAATTGCGGCTCTTTTTCTTTTGTAGATCCGAACCCACGACCTCTGGCATGTCACCAGTCAGAATCACTAACCACCAGATCGACAGGCCTCTCTTGTCATAATTATACTTTGATATTGGTTTTAATTTCCTACTTATAAATGTTCATTTCATTTGTATATTGCTCCTTAAATACATATATGTGCAGTTGTCACGGGTTCGATTCCCGATCAAACCAAACATTTGTGTGTTTAATGTTTGATTTGGTCGGGGTCTTTTTATGTATAATAAGTATGTACTTACAAAAAACAATATATATGTATTTATATCAGTTTTCTAGTAGACATAGTACAAGCTTTGCTTAGTTTGGGAGTAGTTGGCGTTGTGTGAATGTGGTACAATATTATTATTACTAATTTTCCTGTACAACAAGCGGTATATTATACCACAACACCATGTGTATCAGCTTATTAAAATTCTTAAAAATATTAAAATCTTCCATCTTGACATGAAACCTTTTAACAGCAAATACCCACCATCATTCATTATAAAAATCCTGTCTCGGGACCGGAATATTTGTGTTTATATTTGTGTCATGTAGATATGTACATGCTTTAAAGTTTGTGTGATTTATTGTTTTATATATTGTCAGAAAAATAATTACTGCACGATGTTTATTCTTCTCTCTTTATAAGTAGGAGGGTATCATTATTTTTGCATCCATCACTATTAGTTACAACTAAACACACCATTTTTATACGGTACGGTACGATAAGGTCCTTCGACAGGTCAATTAGCCAGGTAGCAAAATGAGATTCCCTGCCCTTTTTACCAGACGCCTTAAAAACTTCAATATAAAAAAAAGCTTGGCAATCCTATTTGTAATTGTGATCATTGGACTTGATGCAGTTATATACAGGATATAATTATCTCTCATTCAGTCAGTCACACACAGTTAATATTTTTAAATACATTTTATTGATAATAAAACCAAACAATCAAAGGAAGTAGATAGATACTTAACACACACGCAAGTGACTCTAGCTACACATTTTAATAAAATCAAATTAATAAAAATCAAATGTAAGAATTCGTAAAATAAATTATATATAAAGTATTACTCCTATGTACTATAAAACGAATAGTAGCTAGGTACCTAGGCTAACGTATATACAACAACACTTTATTCAATTCAATGGCAATTTGTATAGAACGCTATAAATCATATTAAACAATTTATATGGTAAATAAACTTTACATTAATTGTACAAAATGGGAAGGTGAGCACGAACGTGCGCTCGCGCCGAAGCCTATGTCATTGTTCCAAATCACACGAGCGACGAGCAAGTTGGCAACAGTGTGCGACCCATGGGACGAGCTGCGGGGCGAGCGAGGGAGGTACGCGAGGCGGACGGGGCGAGGCACGCCGCACCCGCAGCCCGCGCGATTCACTGCTCGGCGCTGTTGTCGTAGCGCACGAGTGACACGACAAGTCCCAACACAGTAACACAACACCGTCACTCCACCCTCCCCGATTAACACTTACAACACTTTCATCACAGTTTCTGTACCATGTCAAACTTGGACTTGAGATCCATAGGCACTTTCTTGGGGTCAACCTTCTTCTTCGCAGCTAGATGCGCGCGCATCTCGGCCGCTGTCATCTGCAGGTTTAGCCGAGGCGGCTCCGCGGGTGGCGGACTATCGCGTGCCGTGTCTGCAGTAGGCGTCGCTGTACGCTCGGGCGCAGGCGTGGGCGCTTCCAAGTCAGGTACAATTTCGCCAGGCGCCGGCGCAACTACTAGAAGCTCTGCATCGTCCCCACGCTCCTTAATGCGTGCCACAACCTGCTTGTGACTCTCTCCGGCGATACTGTGTCCGTTTACCTCCAGGATACGATCTCCTCGCTTCAATCCCGCCAGTTCAGCTGGCGAACCATCGTCGACTTTTCCGATGTACTGTCCAGGCTTGCCTTTTTCAGCATGTAGGTTAAAGCCATAGCCATCGAAGTCGGGGGTTTTCCGCACGTGGCAGAGTCGCGGCGCGACGGCCGCCGACCCGTTCGCGGACATGTTTGGTTATACGAGTGACGCGCGCTTCGCGTCGCGTGCAACCAGAGACTGACGACCGCCCGCACATCCGACCCCGCGCTGCCTCCGTAAAGCCTCTCCCCCGCACTCCTCACACCTGCGAAGGCTCGGTTCAGGTGTGACGGTGGGGAGTGGAGGGACATACTGCGTCGACCACTAGTATACATTGGAACGGCGCTGTGGCGCGAAGTATCGTCGCGTGTGTCTTTTTAAGTTTGCATATCAGGCGTTAAAGTGTTCCTGAGAGCAGTGATCAGGGTGAGTACAGTGCAAAGGTGGAGTGTTTTGCGGGTGAGGGAAGTGGTAGGGCGGGAGTTATTGGCCTCCGGGAGCGACACGTCACAGCCGGCGCCCGCGCACGCCGTTAGGGATCGAGGCCGCGCCGCTTTCCCGCAGACTTGATGTGTGTGTCACTCGCCGCTACTCACATACCAGCTGCTTTTACGTGACCCATCATTTTCCTTCTATCGTTTATCATACTCTGTGAGTTGTAAAGAAAATATTCTAATTAGAATAAATTAAAATGAAAGCTTGGACTTGTTTATATGTTTGTGAGACTGTGGGTCACTACGGCGGTGGCCTCGTTAATTTTTAATGGTAGATACCACAACAAAGGCTCTGTATGAAAGAATGAAAGTTATGTAGAAGAGGAAAACAGTGTGAACAGTTGTCTTTGGTCAGTGCGTATAGTGGCTAATAGATGGCGTACGGTTCGCGGAGCATCTGTCGGGTCGTTGATCCGGGGTCGGGCCACCGTCGCACGTATTCGGAGCCTTTACCTGATAACAACAGTGGCTAAAGACGTGCTAACTTACAACTTGAAAGGATATCTTGAGGCCTAGAAGGTGCGGAAATCATAAAACGGCTTTACATGGTGATGCAACAGTTAGCTACTGAAACATATATGGAGTTCCGGTGTTAGGGGGCGTTTCCTTACTAAATAATTTACAATTACCGTACAGTAATGTGGCATGTCCAATTGCATTTGAACAGGTCATTTAATACAATATCAAGAACTGTTTTTGTATTTGTAAAACTTAGCTAAAAATAACATTAAACATTCATATGATAATTTCGGTCAATATATCTGTTGCTTTCTTTTTACATTGTTTCGAGAGAGCATTAAATAATAGAACTGAATAAAACAACTTCAAGCTCTATGTTAACGAACTTCTTGAAAAAGAAACTGAGAGTGCTTATAATTATCTATATTTTATTTCATTTATTTTGAACTGACTCCATTAAAAATACAAAAGTTTAAAAGGTAAGATACCTTTTAACCTTTTGTATTTTTAATTGTTTTTATTATGCAAAAGAAAAATATGGACATTCTCCAAAAAAAATAGTAGACATAATAATTACAGTTTATATTAGTGTCCCTAAATTACTTCTATGTAAAGTTTAATGTTTTTTCAATTTATATTTGTAATTGTGATAAAATCATCAATCAGCAGACATGAAATGCATCGTTTTTGTGGCGTAGATGATCGCATTTTACAAGTAAATAATATAAGTTTTCGCATTAACATAGTTTATAATTTAACTTAAAATCTTAATAACGAATTCTGTCAGTGAAAGTTATTAATTAATTAATGTGTTAGGTTACGTTGATATTTTTCTTTCTTTTAGAATACTTTTATAAATATTATATAATAAATAAGATTCTGTGGGTATTAGTATAATTTGATGTTGAAATACGCTTCAGTTCTATTTCGATATAGCTTTCGATAGGAATTCCGTGTGGTACTGTTTTAAAAATATGGAGTGTCACCACCCCCATTCATCCCGTGGATGTTGTAAGAGCCGACTAAGGGACTAAACTAAGCAGGACAACAGCACTGTGAAGAGAATTAAATCTTGAAACAAACCCTATACATACCCGTCTGGCCTTATACATACCAGTATGTTAGGCCAAAATCTCCGTTCTAAGGAGAGGCCTATGTCCAACAGTGGACTATCAGAGGCTGTTAATGATGATATCAATTTGTCAATAAACCTGATAGATATTTAAATATACATATACACAATTCATATTAAATAAAGGCTATTGACGATGAGGATATTTTTTGAATGTAATAATTGAAAGAGAAAAACAAAGACAACACTTTTTACAATATTAACACAAATGTATTATAGCATCGCTGCTAGTTATATTACAATGTATATTTCTTTAAAATCTATTTTCTAAATATTAATATACTAAGGGAATAATTTTAATACAATATAGTAACTCTAAATTGTAAGTGCAGAAAATTAATACTTTTTAACCGTTTGTATTAAAAATTTAATAAACAGACTAGCTGACCCTGCAAGCGTAGTTTTGCTATTTACATTATTTAATTATTATTTTTTTAATTTCGTAAAATTCGTTCTTAGCTGACCTCTACTCGGTGAAAAGCATATTCCTTCCAAATTTCAAGTCTTTAGCTCTAATGGTTCCAGAGATATCGTGATGAGTGACTATATACGTGGAAATCTCTTATATATATATAGATTTAGAAGCGTCCAGTATATCAGTCATGTTAGGAAAAGCATACACTATGACTTTTCATGGCACGGTCAAAATTCGACCACCATGCTATTTATAGTATAATCTAATCTGCCCTATATATAAGACAATATACTCATAAGATTATCTAACATGTCAGACTATTTCAGAGCCTGTGTATCTTTATCTTCCATCTGGCTGCAGTTTTATTCATGCATTTATTGAGTGCTAAACAATTCTGTACTTGTTTTATGAGTCCAAAACATACCAAAACTTTCCATTCTTCGACGATTGATACATAAATAATCAAGAGCCTTCAACTTATACAATATTTGATTACAATTGACGAATTCTAGTAATTTAATCTTAAGTCTTATCCACATTAACATCATTTTTAGTATCTTACTACATGCGCAGCGGTTACCGATAATAAATAAATTGATTACTATCTAGTTTATAGGGTAATATGTAAATTTAACATTATATTATCTTCAATCTTAACAAATTTATTCCACTTTCTAATAATTTCATTATCTTTTTAGTAAATGTGTCATTCATTACTGATTATGGTCATGATATATTTAATATTTATTTTTACAAATTCAAATTTAAGCATCTTCAACAGCCTGTACTAAGTCCACTGCTGGACATAAGCCTCTCCTAAGAAAGGAGGTTTTGGCCTACTTTACCACGCTGGCCAGACGGGTTGGTATAGGATTTGTTTCAATTTTTCATTCTCTTTGCAGTGATGTTGTCCTGCGTAGTTTACTCCCTTAGTCGGCGCTCACGACACCCACGGGATGAATAGGGGTAGTGACATTCTGTAATTTTAATCCGTCACCACAGGGACAAATTTAAGCATACAAAAAACGAGTGTCCTTTAGACTACACGACTGAAGCAAAACTTCTTTAGCTCCATGTTTTATATGTTTATAAATGTATATATGTATAATATATATATAGAGGCCCGCACTTTGTCTTAGATATACGAAACTTAACTGGCTATGAGAGAAAGATTGAAAGAAAAAGTGTGTTTGCACCTCTCTCTCTTGCCCTTACAGTAATATACGAAACGTAACTTACGCTCTTCACTAAGTTATACTCGTATCGCCATCTCAAGTTCCGTTCACTCACTTCATTCACCTGATTACTCCCCAAGTCAAGCGTGCGTAAAGAAGTTTTACTTTAAAAAGAAGAAATTAAAACCCTAAAAATAGTATCAGTGGTAGACCCTTCAACACTTATGGCCCTGTTCAACCTGAGTTTTACCACAGCCTTACTGAAGACCAGTGTTAAGCAGTTCTTCTTAAATTTCTCTCTTGAGGCGCAGGTCGTCACTTACCAACAGCTGACCCATTTGCTCGGTTACCACTTTATCAAAAAAAAAATATCTTAACATAATATTTAAGCTCTGAAATAGACATGAAATTATTCCAACTTTAAAAAAATAATCATTTAATGAAATGATTGTTTATAGTCACTGTGATTTTAACCGTGATAAGTCATAGACAAAGAACCATCTAAATCAATCAAACCGACCTTTTATTTTTAGATTAGACTCGCGATTCTGGCGCTCGCTGAGTCACAGGTGTGATGAAATGATTTCAAAATCATATGATCAATCACAGAATGATCTGAAAGCATTGTTATAAAGGCTCAGTTTTATAAAAGAGTGACGTAAAAAAAAATGCAACGCAATTTATTATTGCAATTTGACACAAAAATTTATTGAAAGGAATATTATGGACCTGTCTGTCTCTGTTATTATTGTAGTACTAGCTGAGACCAGCGGTGTTACCCGCGTTTGTTGTTATAACCGCGGGCAACGCCGCGGGGCGAAGATAATCTAAAAAAAGTAGCCTAAGTTACTCCTTATGTCATCAGCTATCTGCCAGTGAAAGTCCCGTCGAAATCGGTCCCGGTCCGGGAAGAGATTACCCGGAACAGACAGACAGACAAAAATTGTAAAAAATGATATTTTGGCGTATGTACCGTGTAAACATACATATGCATTTATTAAAAAGCGGTTAGTTTAATATTACAAACAGACACTCCAATTTTATTTATTTGTATAGATTACTCTTGTACGAATATTAAAAGTGCAGTTTAAGCAAAAATATATATATATTTTTAACTTTTACGTTAAGGACACAGAATATATTTTACAAAATTATGTTTTTAGATTATTGAAAGCTGATTATTATTGTATGGTAACAATTTTCTTTAACGCGTTTGAGATATTTTTTACTGTTTTGCTATTTTTAATACAAAAGAATAATGTTGTTGTTATTTTATTTATATCAACTTTAACATTCACTCAATATCAAATTCAAAGTGTAAAAAAACCGTCCATTCAAAATCTAAGGAGTATTTTGCTTTTTCCGTTGGGAAATAATATCTCGTTTTTACATTACATTTCTTAAAAAAGTATCCCCTTTATCCTATTTTAATCCCCAGTAGTATACAACCCTGAGTATACATATAATATATTTAT